CACTGTAGGGCCTCGAGCGGCTCAAAATCGTAAAGGGTGGCTGTCTCTGTGTCGAAAGCCCCGTCCACTTGGGGAATTGTGCCCGTGGGCTGTATTCGCAGAGCAGGGTGATGAGAGCACAGGGTGGCTATTTTGGGTTCCGAATAAGTATCTCCAGCCCTCTGCCTTCCAGGAGGCTGGAGGCAGATCTCCTTGGTCTTCAGAGGGTTGTTGGCACAATATGGAGCCCTCCGTGTGGCCCCAGGTATCAGTGGCCCCTTCCGCTCTGACCTGTGCCCTCTGCCCTCCCAGCCATCTTCAACAAGGACCTGCTGGCCACCTTGCATCTCCTCGTGGCCCTGGCCAAGCGCTTCCAGCCCGACCTGCCCCTCCCGACCAATGTCCAGGTGGAGGTGATCACCATGGAGGTACGGGGCTGGGTGCTGGGGGGACCCCTGTGTACAGGCTGAGCATCTTGGGTCCATGTCACCGTACCCTGGATTAGGGGGTGCTGCGTGGGGAGGGGCTGAGCCAGGATGTTTTCTTAGGAGCCTCAAGATATATCACATCCCTCCAGGACTGCAGAGGGGCCTGGGCTGGAGCTGTGGGTGGAGATATTGAGAGTCCGTGGTGGCGGGGGGCCTAGGGTCACATGGTCACATGGGCCATAAGTGGTCATCTATCTGTTCATGGCCTTTCAGAAGCCTTCATAGTTTTGGCCCCCAGGCCACTGCGGTGTTGTCCCTCATTCACCAACGATGGCTGTGACCGTGCAAGGGAGCCTTCTCGTTTCTCCACCTGCAGGGTCCCCTTGCTCTAGCATATGCACAACTGGTGCTGAAGTTCATGTCCCCGGAGCCCATGGCTTCTCCCTCAGGCAGAGTCTGAGCATCACAAACGGGGCCCCCACCTTCTCCTGCTCCCCGTTATTCCCTCCCCCAACTTCTGAGTGCCTGATGAGCCAGGGGGCTTCCCGTCTTGGAGCTTACGTTTCACTCAGATGAAATCATTCTTACTTCTTTCAAAACCGTTGATTAAAATTCTCCACTAAGCAGTGTCATGACTTTGTTTATACTTCTTATATAAATCAGAGGTGACTTCATTCCTTCATTCCTTCACTCATTCACTTATTCATTAATCCATCCACCTACCTATCCACTCATCCATTTACCCATCCATCCATCCATCCATCCAACCATCCATCCACACACTCATCCATCCATCCATCCACCCAACCAT